ATCCTAAAGAGAGGCAGTACTTCGGTTAATTGGCCAATTGGCTATTTGGGTACACCGAGGATAGTCTCGAAGAAGAATAACAGGAGACGGCAATTCAGAGAATGGGAGGGTTATTTGATTCAGTCACTGGCGACGCGCACCAGGCGGTCTTTTGCTATCACGCGTTTTTGCAGTATTTCGTGCTGTATTAAGATCATTTGGAATCCCAGTAGCTAAAATTTGAGAAATACTGATTCTCGAAGCTCAGGGAGTTAATTGCACAACTACGTGGTACTTGGAGAGGGAGCACTCCGTCAAATTTCAGCTTTCCAGTTTTTCTGGTTCCCGAGTTAACAATTTTCTTGCCAAAAATCCATAGGCCGGTACACGACAACCACGCACACCTGTGAGCTGAATTTGAAATTTTTAAGTTCTACATGAACGGAGAACAGCCCCTCAAAATTTCGGCTTCTGTTAAACTCTAGGTTGGGACGCACCGGAAATCCTGGTGCATTCCAGACTAGAGTTTAATAAAGCACCCGTCAAAATTCTTTTTGCAAGGGCAGTGCCACAGCAAAAAGGAAGGGGGAAATGATGGAACTTTCCTCGCATTTTCTGATGCATTACATGGAATCGTTCTGATGCATTACTTGGAATCGTACGTACTGGGAAGTACAGTAGGGCCAAGGTTCGACTCCACCGGTGCGAAAATCTGTCCCTCTACAGTTCACCCATTGTTTCGATGATAAACTGGTGCTGGCAAGAATTTGTGAATTAGGACATGGCTTCGACTGCGCAGTTCAACTCCTAAAACATCGGCTAATGCCATTACTGATTATTGAGAAGAGGAGTTGATATCCAATTCTGCAGTTAGATTAGTATCGCCTTACCTGAATACGGAGATAAACGCTCATTTTCAAGCATTTAACGTGGTAACACAAAAGAAATCGGTAGTGTTGAACTGGCAGCTTACTAGCTGCTTTATCCAATGCGTCACTGCCGTTTCATTCCTTCAAATCTGGGACATTAAGCAAGTGAGTCAAATTATCGCTTGTTATGGGTAATTTGCCCTCTCAGTCTCTGCTAGTTGTATTTCAGCTGCCTTCTCAATCTCTGTTTCTCCCCCAAAGGTGTGCTGCAGAACTGAAAGAGTGCCCCCTCAATCTCTCTCACAGATTGCTCTACATTTCTATCACCTTCTCAATCTCTAACACTCTCTCTTCCTTTACACTGCAGTAATGGAAGAGAAGCTGAGATTGAGAAGGCGATGAAAAGACAGTGCAAACAGTGATAGGGATTGAGAGGATCTGCGAAACATTGCAGTGCTGAGTAAACAGTTCGGACGATTTTATGTGCCCGCACGTGAGTACCACGCGTAACAGGTGTTAAATATGAAATCTTTAGCTTGTACTTGAGCAGAAAACATCCCCTCAAAATTTCAGTTGTTCAGCTTCCCTAGCTCCCGAGTTAACAAGTCCCCCGCCAAAACTTTTCATGGGCCCGTACTTGAGAACCACGCCCAGCTTGGGACTGATTTTGAAACTTTTAATTCCTACTTTGACGGGAAACATCCCCTAGAAATTTCAGCCCTCCAGCCTTTCTGGTTCCGAATTGGTAATTTTCCTGCCAAAACTTTCAAATACTCGTACGCCGGGCACAGACGTGCGTGAAGGTTGGCACTGCGGTCCTGGGGTGGTACTTGACTGGAGAACTCACTGGCTAAATTTCACGTCAGAACCTGCTTAGTTGCCGAGTTGAAATATCCGGACAGAAGCATACGCACACATACATATACAAATAAACAAACATACACACATATGCACACCATGGGTTGTCACAGCTTGGAAATACCATGAAGCACGCAATAATAATAATTGGCCAACGCACGGGCTGCCCGTGCGAAGATGCATGGTTCTCCGCAGTTTTTGTTGCTACCGGCATCGGTTTTTTCGGCAAATGCTTCTAGCTAAACAAATTAAGAC